TATAATTATATACATTTTTTTAATGCATAAAAAATAAGCACGAAAATACCCATTATGGCTCTGATACCAATGTGAGATATAGATAACACAGCGGGTAAAAGGATTCAAAGCATACCTTGTGTAAAAGAACCTTGTTGGTAAATCACGAAGAACCTTGTGTAAAGGATTCACGAAGAATCTTGTGGGTAAATCACGTGCTTGACAACCACAAATTATGAACACCTAACAATGAAGTGATACTACAGTATGAGTATCACCCACACTAGTCACAGTGTAGAGGCTTGATCATTTTACAGATAGAAGAGAGTTAGAGAGAGAGTCTGGGAAAAACAAATCATTCATGATTCTAATCATCCCGCATCCCATATATAACGTATCTGATATACAGGTTGATTTTATCTATCTATCCATATCTCTTGATAAGATATGATAGATATAGATAATAGATAGTAGGTTATCTAGATAGAAAATAATTTAAATTCAAATTCAAATTATTTAGATGATCTGATATAGGTCAAGGGTCATGCACATGGGCGTCCAAATCCAAGTCCAATACCCGGTCCAATTTCCAATAGTTATATTAATATTGTTGTTATCATGTCAGTTGGCAATGAGGTTGGTCTAGGAAGAAAACCCATATATGTTTTACGAGTGGAAAGTGAGCTACGGGACTCTTTTCCCAATAGATGTCCCACAGCATGTCGTTCTCATCAATGGCAAGTTTCCTGGACCAAGGCTCAAATGCACAACCAACAATAACATCATGATGAACGTGTTCAACAACCTGGACAAGCCTTTTCTTCTCCACTGGAAAGTATTAAGTTTTTGTCATTGGCAATCTCGTTTGACAAAATTTCTTTCAGTTATAATTTTATTCGATCTTTTATTTCAGTGCAGCTAGGAGTATTTAGATGCGAATTTAACCTGAATTGTGCCTATGCAAAGGAGTTTGTAATCTTAATTCTTTCATGTTTGTCACTTCACTGACTAAGTACAAAAATCGAGTTATCCAGTTAGCTCGCAAGGGTCCAAGGGGCAGCACCTCATGGCGGGTCCGAGGCAACGTCCCCAAAGTAAAAAGCAAAAATACAGTCAAAGTTGTTTGACCACTCGAGCGAAGAAAAGGATCATCCAGTACTTTTGCAGAGCGTCTGATCTTCTAGGATGAAAGTTTTACCACTCAAGCGGTGAAAGTTGCGCTCGAGCGGTCAGCTTATATGTTTTGTACCACCTTTACTCACACCACTTGAGCGGTGAAATGTGCGCTCGAATGGTCTGCACGATCCTGTTTACTATAAAGTGCACAGCTTGCTATTTCTAGGGTTTGTGCCGTCCAGATTTTCAGAGAGGAAGAAAAAACAAAGTGTTTTATATTGGAGGGTGCTTTATGAGTGTTTCTTTGATGATTTAAGAGTGATCAATGGATTCATGAACTTTACATCAACATCATCAAGAAGTTTATTTATTTTCTTTTATTCACAAAAGATAAAGTTGTTCTTTAGTAGATTCCGGAGAACTTGGGCCTAAAACTTTGGTGGATTTCAGAGTGACTCATAGTCGTGGATTCGATATCAACGTTGTGGATTTAATGTTGGACAAGACCATTCCGAGGTGAAGACGGTGGTGGAAGAGGCACATTGGGGTCTGTTCAATTCGGGCGTAGATTCGCTAAGTAATTGAAAGTACACTTGTGTAATTTCTTTTTGTCTTCTTAGTGGATTGTTTTGTAGCTTTGGCCCGTGATTTTTTTATCACAATTCAAGATGCTCCAATTGTGGTTTTTTCACGTTAAATTACTGTGTCGATTTGTCTTTGATTGTTTAATTGGAATTATTATTTATTGTTTAAAAATTCAAACATAATTACAAATCAATATCTCGGGAATTTTTATATTTTTTAGAATGGGATCTAGCAAAGGAATAATTCATAGCAAGGAGTGTTGGGAACCAACTGCCCAATTCCCCTTGTACCAATTGTAGGAAAAATATTTTTCAGTAAAATTAATTTAATGCAAATAAATAATAAAATAAAACACAAGAAATTTCTTACAGAAATTCTGTAAATTTAATACAGATTGTGACCAAAGCCAGTGTTTGAACACTATGTCTTTAAGATAGAATTTCGCCCTTACCTTTGGTGTTTGCAATTAATAGACGTCCTGTCTCTAGGATACAACGATCACCCCACACAAAAATTACACAACTTTCTATGTGTACACCGAGCTAATTTGTGCAATGCACTCTCTCTTATATACTTGACTAGACGTAATGTATGAATCATAAAACAAACCTTAATTTATGCATCAATACCATAGGATGAGATGGTATTTATAGAAGTACTCATAACCTTTAGAATGGTCATGCCTGTTGGGTTCATACCCTTTCATATGAATAGACACCAAGAAGGATTGCATCCTTTCATTCAAATGGAGTCAATTCTCATTCACTTCTAAAACTTTCCAACAATCCCCTATATGAATGAAATTGATGACACAATACAAATGAAATGCAAACACTGACAAAGAGAGTACAAAATGAAAATATCATGCATCAAGATAGGTAGCTTTGGCCTTGAACCTTCCTTAGTGAAAGACTATTGGACTTACTAACTAATTAGTGGACGTGATGCCTTGAACTGTTCAACCGTTTATATAAGTCAAGACAATAGGATTCACACAAAAAATCTCTGAACACAACTTGGTTCTTTCATTATGCCCATTTTGGCCTTGGGCAATTCCTGGTTTCATGAGTGCTTTAGAAAATTTCGCCTTATCAATTTCTCATAAAAATGGCCCCTTCACATTCGTATAGGTGATTCTTATTTCGATATACCCTTTTAGATTTTTCAAAATTTAAGTAATCATTAAAAACATAGCTTATCCTAAGGCCCTTACAGACAACACATGTTACAGATATCACTCTCATCATAAGAATTGATAAGAGATAAACTCTCTTAGTGATTTCTAGTGAGTCATCCATAATTCGGTTGTCCCTTTGAACCTAAATCTTGGGATCTCCAGTTAACTAGGTTGGGTTGCCATTATGGCAACTCAAAATTAATAGATTTTAATCACATTCCCCTCGATGAACTTTTCATCATTTGCTCTCTAATCAAACTTTTTGTTTAGCGGTCGCTATTTTTCGTTTGATTTTCTTTTTTATATATCATTGAGTAGTTAGCGGATCCACTATACTGTTCTCAAACAATACTCACATCTAAGAGCAAATATCTTACAATATTAGGTCTTTGACTACATCAAGACTTACCATTTTTATGTCACTCTCATTTTTTTTAATTCACATTATAGACATAGGTGTTCCTTAGAAGTTAATGAAGCCATTTTTACTTCTACTTCAATTTTTCCTAATCAAAGAATTGATATTCTTTATGGACCTACTATCGAAACCGTTACTTTGGTAAAATTCTCCAAGCACCCCCATATTTTAAATACTCTAAGAAAAATTAATTTCCTTGTTAAGATATTATCACACAAAAATATCAATACACCCCTACAATTCTTATATAAATCAGAATATAACATTTTTTACTTATTACTTTTCAGGTACTAGAATCCAAATCTTTTTACCCCTCTATGTACCTACATATTTTTGTATGCATGTTTAGCTTTTGCAATTTCTTTCTTTTTTTTTTTTTTTTTTTTTTTTTTTTTTGACCAAAGAGTCAAACAATTCAAAAATCTCATTTAATTGTATAAATCCTTAAAATGCATTCAAGAAAAAAGTACTTGTACAACGTATTTAAGAAAAAATATTTGTACCTCCAAATTAAGATTTTAACTCTTAAATTTGAGGCGTTCGGATCCTCTAGAGTAGTAATGGTGGAGCGCCATGTGTCCCATTTTAGAAGTGAATGGCTGAGATCGTTTTGATGAAGAAAAAAAAAATGTTTGTTTGTTTCAGTTCAATGACTCAAAGAGAGGGAAAAGGAGAAAGAAAGGAGGGGCTGAGGAAGAAGGCCAAAGGCAATGCTGCCTTCACCACTGGAAACTTCACGGAGACGATCAATGTTGTTGCGGACAACTATGTTCTCTACTCCAATCAATCCCCTCCTACGCCGTCGAGATCAAGTCTGGTGTCGCCCACGAACAACACAATCTATAGATCTTGGGAAATCGACAAATTTTGGTAGCACTATTAGAAAATTGACTTTTGTGTCTATTTTTTTTACGACTATTTGTTTAACCATAGCAAAAAATATATTTGCGATAGCATTTTCTAAGTTCTAATTTATCCATGTGCTTTATTTCTTCTATTTTCTTTTATTTATATTTGCCCTAGTCAAGCTCACTCAAACTCTCAGCATCGCTCTTTCTCTCGCTCGCCCATTGTCGTCTTAAGGTGTATAGGGACCGTTTAAATTTATTTTCTTTGAAATAGGAATTTGAGAATTAAGAATTTTTGTGCACTATGTGTTTTTTGGGTATGGTTAGCTTTGTTTTTTCTTTGGGATTATTTTCCTGTGGGTTTGTATAGGTTGAAAATTATTGTTGTGTTTGGATTTGGATTTGGATTTGGATTTTTTAATTTTTATATTAATAAGTTTTTCTTGATTTGAGAGTTATGGTTGGATGGGGTTCTATAAATTGAAGATCAAATAGGAGGAATTGAGTTTGAGTTGCATAAACTGAGTTTGAGTGATTGAGATTGAGTTAGATAAATTGGGTTTGAGTATTGAAGAGGAGGAGCTCAGCTGACCGGAGATGTTTCTGCCGGCGCCAGCAAGGAGGGAGCTTCTTACTCGGCCCCACCTCTCTCTCTCTCTCTCTGAGCTGAAACAAACAGTTTTTTTTTTCCCTTACCAAAACGACGTCGTTTTGATGAAGACTAATCTCAACATTCACTTCAAAAAGGGGACCCCTGGCACTCCACCATTACCACTCTGGAGGATCCAAACGCATGAAGGAAACTCATATCACAAGAAAATAATAATAATGATAACAAATAACAAATACCTAATAACAAAAAGGCTGTACTCAGTGCTTACAACAGAACAAAATATACATAGTACAGCACTTTATTCAAATATTGAAACAAATAATTTTAGCAAATGGCAGGTTATATATGCATAAAATATAATCCAAATTACAGCAGTTTCTACATTCACTATAATAATACATGTGCTAAGAAAGACTACAAATTACATGAACTATAACATAAAAAACATAACTTAGAAAAGAATGGAGGATAGAAGGAAGAATAACCCCCCAAGCTGAGCTGAGCTGGTTTTCTGCTAACTAGAATAGAAGTAGTACACATATGTTTCTATGCAACTGTGTATTTTGTCTTTCCTAAGTTAGGGATCAGAAGTCTGATTTCATGAGCTTTACTCGAGGCTTTATATTGATGTCATCAAAGGAAGCCCCCTGCTCTACATGAATGTAGTCCCTTGTTTTGAGAACCTGCCAAGTGGTAATATTAACACGAACAACAAATTGCTTTAGTATTCCAATATGATACAACAAAATCAATAGAAAACAAACAGAAAAATGGAAAAACAGAATAACAATGTAAGCCAAAATCAACCATTCCACAATTTCCAAGGACACCATGTTGCAAGCCTATTTATATAACATTTTCAATGAATAGCCTTCATCTATAAAGGTGCTTGGTGGTGGAATATTAAGATACAAGAACTAGTAAAAGCAAAAAAATGACTGCTTTAAAAAAGATATAAAATGAAGAAATTTTAAGATACATTAATTGGCTAATGAGGAGACTAAGGCCAAGTTTGGCATCCTCCAAAAAATCCAAAAAGTCAAAAAGTCACTATCCTATTTAAGTCACATCATCTTATTTAAGTCACATCACCTCTCTAACACATCACTTCAAACCCAACCCAAATCCAACCCATATTTCATAAAAAGTCAAAAAGTGCACTTATTTAGTCTTCCCAAACTTGGCCTAAAAGGACAATTAGACATGTTAAGTTGAAAGACTACAACTATCCTTATACTAGATTACAAGTAAAGATGGAGAAAACACCGTTGCTATTTTTCACTTATAGAAAATATTGGACATGTTTATGTTTATTTTTGGTAAAAATAAAAAAACTTGTTCAGTACGCACGTCTTATTTGGTACCCACTTATTTTGAAAATAAGTGAGAGGGAGTAGCCCGAGGTGGCCGTTGGCAGGAAGTAGTGTCCGAAAGTGATTGTTGAAAGTCGAAGATGGTGGCTGTAGGCAGGAAGTAGTGTCCGAAAGTGAATGTTGAAAGTCGAAGATGGTGGCCAGCCGAAGATGGTTTTTGGCCAAAAGTGGTGACTACCGATAGCCAGTGATGATAGCCGAAGGAGATTGTCGACAAAGGTGGTGGTGGCCAATAGGTAATGAGCGATAGGTGATGGAAGAGAGGAAAGAATAGACATTTATTTTCTAAACAAGTGAAACTAACCTTTTTTTGTTACAAGGACTTTGTAAATTTTGTAAATGAGTTTACAATTTTTTCAAACAACAAACGAATTTTTATTTACAATTTTTTAATTTTTTTGAAAATATAAACAAAAAACTATAAAATATAAGCATTAACAAACGAGGCCTTTTACAAACTTGCCAAATTGATAGAAAGAAGACAAACTTTAATAAAGTTACATGTACTAAAAGTGAGGATTTTGTTTAGATAAACAGGAGAGTAAATAAGAGAAAATATAATGATTTCTCTTATCTTGTTTGGTTAAACTAAATAAAAGAAATATATATATATATATTATGTTATTACCAAAATAACCTTTTATGGGTGTCAGTTTTTTATGTCATCTATATTTAAAAGGGCAATTTTGGTAATATAAAAACTAGTAATTTGTTAGTTTCTTTTCTCACCCAATCTCTCTACTTTTGGAGAGATGAGGGTTATAAGAGAAATGGGTTTCTCAATTTCTTCCCGTTTCAACCCATTCCTCTCTTCTTTACTAATCCAAACAAGTGAGAAATGCATTTCTTTTCTTTTCTTTCCAAATCACCCAATCCAAATGGTCTGTTAAGGTGAAACAGTTACTTTCAGAAACTACGAAATGAAAATCGTTCATAAAGCTTAAGAGGAGAAGAATATGCTTGTCCAGCTCCAGCAGCATATTAACTTATAATAAATGTAAAAGACCATAAACACTATCATGGACAATTCTCTTGAACCAAAAAAACTTCTTGATGATCATGGAACCCATAGCCTTCACTTCTAGGCTTCCAAAACCTACTTCACTTATCTAGTCATGCAATAGATTAAGTGTACCATTTGCTTGACATGAGCATATCTCTCATTTTTAATGCTTGAATGCTTAGTGTTAATTTCATTCCTTTGTTATATGAAATGTTTGAAAGCATAATTGTTAACCCTTTGAGACATGGTATAAAGATGCTTCTTTGAATGACTTAATTTGCATGCTCACTTGATATGCATTATATAAAGATTTAGAAACACGAGTTAGGGAGCATTGCAATGCTATGTTCATGTATGCGTCGATTCTCTAATCAAGGTACTTAATTGTCAGTCTAATGTGCTTGACATTTTCATGTGTTGTGTGAAAAACCTAATCGGAATTAGTGGAATGATGCAGCCTGCTGTTCATAGTAAATTGTTTTGGCTGCCAGCAATTATTTTACACACTAAATGAGGAAGCTGGAAAGTTTATTCTGGGCCGTTGAATAAGCTCAGGTTCAGTAATTCTCTAGGACTCGTGTTGAGCATTTAAGGAACACTTTGAATAACACTTTTAGTTTTATAAAAAAGCCTCTTAAAAGGAAGTGAGAAGTCAATCTTTTTAGAGAGATAATTTCCAGAACAGAGCTTAATATAGCTCCACCCCCGGTTAGGGTTTCAAGCATTAGAGGATTGGGTTTTGAGGAGTTGAACCCGTGGCTACTTTCGATCCCTCCACCATTGCATATCCCAGCGAGAGGTCAGCAACCAGGCACCATTTCTTTGCTGTTCAGATTCGAATTTTCTTTTAAAGAAACTGTTGTTTTGAGCTGAACTTCATAAGTTCTCAATTCTACTTCTTGTTATAAGTTCTGTTATCGTATTTTATAAATAAAGTTTGTTGACAGTTTACATCATGGTAATTATGTATGATTAGTAAACTTAATTGAGATTAATTGAGTCTAATCATGATTAATTAGACTAAGCAATATTAGAGAGTTAACCTTGCTTAATTAGTGCTAACCTTGATCGTTAGAGTTAATTATATGATTAGTTTGTTAGAAGTCATCACACACCTCAATGGATTAAGAGTGTCTCAATCTCAAGTGATTATACTATTCATTGGTCTATCACTCATCCATCTGCCCTATATTTATGTAGGAGATGAAGGTGCTTGACAGCTATGTGAATCAAGCTGTGTGTATATGTAAATCAGATGTAAAGACTGTATACTCTAGCCCTTGGCAAGGAAGAGCTTTGGTGTTTGACATCAATGTACAAATTTGGTTTGAATGTTCAAGTTGCACTTTCTTGTGTGTAAATAGGAACTCCTTGTGTAGGAAGACCCTGGATTGAGAATGTAATAAAAAGTGTTAAAGTTTCGTTTCATTAATTTATGCACTTGCTCTGAATGGATGTTGTGAGTGTATTAGGTTGAACGAATGTGTTCTACAGCTAAAAAGGCAGGTTATACACAAAATAAATATGAGTGCTACCAAGTACGCCTTTGGTAGTCTATGACTACTGGCTGGTCATTACCTAATCCCAATTTGGGGTAATTTGTGGCAACAGGGGCTAGCATGCGGCTCAGCACCACAAGACAAAACTATAATTTACGATTGTTACTTTAAACTGGAAAACTTGAGCTAAACATACCAGTGCTTCAAAAAACATCCTTGATGCCTCCTTACGAGTTTTACCAACTAACAGGTTGTCCATGGAAAGAACCTTCCTGCCATGCTCTGCTTCCTTGTCAAACAATACTTGAAGGTACTTGGCAACCGCTCTACAAGAAAAATAGAATCAGAAACTTTTACAGACCAGCACTTACGGAAAAATAAAAAAATAAAAAATATGAAATTTAAGAAGATATTTAAAGGTTTGTAAGAGTAAAGAAAGGCTCAACACTGAAATAGAGTAAACAAGTCGTCTGTAAAAGATATAATATGAAACTAACACATCCATATTCACGAATCCTCATATACATGTAGCCAAAATGAGGGATTATGGAAACTATACCACCACTGGAGATCCATCAAGCTATCAAAAATTCTTTTTAAAAAAAATCATTTATATTGCTAATATTTTATTTAGTATAGTTTAATCCCATTAAAAAAACTAAGGGAGCCCATCACATAGGGATCCACACCCATTAAACACCTACTATTTAAGAAGTTTAAATCACTTTGTTTGGTTAATAGTTTTTTTTTTTTTTTTTTTTTTTAAGTGAACTTTTAAAATATTTTAAACAAATTTTATTTTTATTTTTTAGATCCTCTTAATTTAAATACATTTAAAAAGCAAAATATTTGTGAAAAAATCTAAGAATATATAAATAAAAATTCATCACATTTTCTTTTTTCTTTTTTTTGTGTATATATTGAATTTTTTTAGATTTTTTTTTTACAAATATTTACTTTTTAGGTAGATCTAGTTTATGTGCATCTAAAAAATAAAAAATAAAATTTGACTAAAATATGAAAAAAAAAAAATCCTGAAGACCACAAAACATGAAAATTTAAAAACTTGAATTGCTTTTAAAAACAGAGTGAATGTCGTTTAATCTTTTTTTTAAAAAAAATTCTTACAGAATTTGTGGAACTTAAACATGTGGAGTGACCCCATCTACAAAAATTCCTAGAATGCCACTGTGCATAGCATATTAAATATACAAGTTTCTAAAAGCCCTTGGCTGCATTTGTTTTGGGGATAAAATGGGTGGGATTGCATTGAGAATCCCACGGACCCACCTATTCCATCCTATGTTTGTACTGTTGAGAGGGAGGGGGGTCATCTGGTGAACCCACATTGTTTCTCTCTGGTGTAATTGACAATAGATAAGGCTTGGCACAAGAAAAATAGTTGACACGTGTGAGCCCCACTTTATCCAAACCCCTAAAAAGCTCCAACCAAACACTAGATAGGGCCAAATGAAAGCATAAAATGGTTCCAGAATTAGATGGTTCAAGGCATCTAATCCACCTCCCCAATACCTATCCGCAAATCAAATGTGGCCTTGATAGAAGATTAGAACTGAATGTGTGAGTGTGTGTGTGTGTGTGTGTGAGAGAGAGAGAGAGAGAGAGAGAGCTAACAGAAAAAAATAGCCTCATATCTTCCACTGCAATCAAATCACAAGAACTTAAAACCTCTTCTGTTAATTGTTAAATTGACAGACATGGTCTAACCACCTACGCGACCAGGTTATTTATTTTCGGTTTCGTAAAAATAATTGAGAACGCAATATTCAAAAGATAGCCTCTTCATAATTCTGAGGAAAACCATATTGCAGCCCCTGTTTGAAGAACCATGTGAAAGAAACACACCTGGTGCGGGAAGACCATCCACTATTCTCAAGGAAGCTAGTTTGCTCAGCACTTGGGACATCATGATCATCTTCTTCGGCAGCATCATCATCATCCACATTCAAAAATCCTGAAAATCCATGGGAAAAAAAAAAAGAAGAAAAAGTTAAGCATAAGAACCATAAACAATTATAGAACAGCAAATTAAGGGCATGACTCGATAGAGATTTACAGGTGATTCACAAGATAAAAATAGAATAAAAACAAACAACAAAATGAGAACAGTATCTTAAATAGTTTCAAATGCGTTCAGAATAGCATAAACCATAAGACATTGAAAACCATCACGTAAAATTTGCTGGGCATGTCTCAGTTTTCAAATTAAAAATATAAGGGAACTACATGCAGGTGGGAGAAGGGGAAAAAAATAACCAACACATGACTTGCACCCCCACAGCCTTTTATTTGCACCCCACTATAAACACACTTGCACCCCCATGTGTTGGTAATTTTTTTCCCCTTCTCCCACCTGCATGTAGTTCCCCCTAAAAATATAAATTTGCTTATTTTAGTTTAGCAAAAAGATGTCATGCAATTTTGACGAAGGACAAATAACTCCAAAAGCATCCATCATACAAGTAACAGAGTTACATTGAAGAATATATAAGGAAACAAACCTGTATCGTGCCCATCTATTGTGTAATCAAAATCCTGCATGTAAGGCAAAAGAGTGTGTTTAGACATACCTCACAAGGAGAAAGAAGAACCATCTATTTCTACATAGAAGGCAAGCAATAACGCCAGAGCACAGAAATCTTGAAACTGTTAAGACAAATGAAATTTGAACATTGTCTCATTCTAGAGAAAATGTGGTTTTGGCAGGCCAACTACCTAACAGGGAATCAAGATGATATCATGTATTAGGTAACCCATTTTGTACCTGAAGACACCAATTGCTATGGCAGAACTGGCATGTTGCAGCAACATTAGAAAACTATTTTCTTATTTATGGATAGCAAGTACTTAGGGCTTTAGGTGTTTATAGGCATCTGTGTCCTATGAGACAAACTACACCACCACTAGGGGAGGTGAACCCCCACCACACCATAAGTTCATAGCACATGAGCCTTGCCTCGGCACATGAATTGCCTAGGCACCTCGTGATGTCTTCGTATCACTCCCCCGCCTAGGCACCACTCACCTCACTTCCTCAGTGGCTCTTAGGTTTTTGAATTTGCTGGAATTGGGTTATAACATGGATCCAAGGATTTTGTTCTCGGTCAAGTTATAAAATGAATTATTAAATGTGCTTAGGGCGTAAGGTGTTTATAGGTATCTATGTCCTATGAGACAAACTACGTCACCACTAGAGGAGGTGACAACACAGCATAAGTTCATAATGCATGAGCCTTGCCTGGCACATCACTTGCCTAGGCACCTCACGATGGCTCCATGTTTCTCCCCCACCTAGGCTCCACTGAACTCACCTGCTCAGTGTGGCTCATCGCAGGTTTTTGAATTTGCTGGAATTGGGTTATAACATGGATCCAAGGATTTTGTAATATGATAGAACATATTACAAGGCCAAACTGGTTATCCCAGCAGAAATTGCAAACACCATGTATATTAAGTATACAACTTACATCACAATCTTCAGTGCCAGTATGGCTAATGGTAGCAATATCAGCATCTATTGTGCACTGTGGAACAGCTTCCTGCCAACCTGGATATTCAACATTATTTAAGGGTGAATATGAAGAAGCTAATTTAGGTTCTTCACTGGATCCATAAGACATCAAGTCCTTGCCATGGTAGTCCAATTCTTCAGCAAGTACCACATCCTCATTTACAACCCCTTGATTGTGTTCCCTGATTTCCTCCATGGCTTGGTCAATAGTTACAACAACCTGGTTACTGAACCTATCATTCTCAGGAGAAATTACAAGAGAAGGATTTTCATTCTCGGTATGTGCAAAACAAGGAATCTGCATATCAGCTTCAGTTTCTTCGAACAAACACTCATCCCCTGCTCTAGATTCAGTTCCGCCTACAGCAGCTCTGTCATCATTTTCCTCTGCTGCTTTGATAGCATCAATTCCCTTGCCGCTGCTTAAATAAACTATAGAAACATCCATCTCAACAGACTGAATATCCAATTTCTGATCTGTTGACACACCTGACGCATCCATTTGCAGAGAATCATTACCACCACTTTCTTTATCCAACGAAGCTGACGGGACCATAAAGCCAGCTGAAATATTATTTTCATCACCTAAAACAGGACACTGGTGGGTTGAGGAAGCTGACTCAACCCCAAGACTAGTGGCAAGATGTAATACATCAGCAACACAGACGCTTGCTCCATCGATTTCTATTTCACCTATCTCCTTAGAATGTTTGCTTATTAAACTCGGAGCTTCCAACACATCATATATAGCCTCCATCTGCACTTGTGTGTCATGACCCTGGGACTGCAAGACATGCTCTTCAACAAGCTGGTTTTCAGAAGATTCTGCTTCCCCATTATTTCTGACTACCATAGACTCATTGATCCCTCCCTTCCCAGTTTTTTGGTTCACATCCGGCTCCATGGAGAACTCCATATCATTTGCTGCTTCAGTAGGATTATTTTCAACCTTTTTTGAAACCAAAATTAGATCTGCTGCAGTTTCCAGAAAAGCATCATGCACATCATTTTGGGTCACCCTGATTTCACTCAGGTCATATGTTTGACTATTCAATAAAGCCAATTCTGTTGATAAACCTGCAAAAATGTATCAAAATTAACTCAGTTAACTCATAAGAATGCATGTCCAAAGTCTCCCAGACACAGTGTCATGTGTTTCTTGTAGAACAAATAACAATATAAAACAAGGATGCACAATCCAGAATATAAATGAATTATAGCCTCATAACTACTGTGGCATTGCAAGGACAGCATTCTACACATACACAACCTTCGTGTGACTAAATGGCCAAAAGTTTTGAGAAAGATGACTAATGCAAATGGGCAGAGAGAAGCCACATAAACAATGGTGCATAAGCTTACATGTGACACAAGCAGAACTGGTTAGGCTTGAGACATTCTGACTAGGAATTACAAACAAAATACGCTATCACCATGCATCTAAAAAAATAGTACATAATAAGCATCACAAACCAGAGTGTTCAAAATAAATCCAAGTTCTACAGATCAAGTTCTAATGTCATTAAAAATTGCAACTGCAAATACATCATTTCAGATGCAATAATGCTAAGTATCATGAAAGAAGTATCATGAAAAGTCTTCATGAAGATTCTCCACCTTGGATTAGTTTATAGTGTTCGTAGTGTTATTGTATGTTATATAATCACCCTTGGATTAGTTTCATGAAACTTTTTATGATATTTATTTCATGATGCGTAGCATTACTCTTTCAGATGGGGCACAGAACAAGAAATAAATAAAGCCCACAGAAATGCTGAGTCATCTGGACCATGAGCTCACCTGTAAATATGGGTTCACTAAAAATTTCATCTTCCAAGAACCCTTTCTGAATCATCCAAATTTCAGGGTGAGTGCAAGGAGCCTTCTTCCGTATGCGACGTATGTCCTCAGTACTAGTCAACTGCTGTCGTATTACACTTGGGTGGAAAAGATTGCAGCATTGTAAGCATAGCACCAGATAAGATGTAACAACGTTAAAAACTAAGAACATCATGATGAATGGTACATGTAAAGAACTAAAAAATAATATCTGGCAACTAAACAAAAAACACTATTCAGTCAAATGCACCTTGGCTACCTGATACACATTTTATAAAATATAGCCTATTTGACACATACATACAACAGGAGAATAAACCAATAAGCTAAATCATAACTAAAATCTGTTTTGAGGATAGGAATGGCAAGAGTAAAGACTGAAGGAGTTTCTCCTTTAGACCAGTAACAGCACATGTAAGAAGCATAGTAGGATAAACACAATTTTCCTTGTTCGTTCCTAATTTAGAATATATATATATATATATACCTAATTTGCAAAACAAACATCTTTATTTTATTTTATTTTTTGACAGGTCACTTGCAATAGAAACATAAAAATAAAATAATTAAAACATAGATAGCTTATACGGCAATATAAACAAAGTAATAAACATAAAAAACAGAACATACTCGCCATGCAAAACCATGGTATCGTCCATAAGAAGCTTCCTCTTTGAAGCATAAACCCGGGGTGTAATCCGAGGGCGTTTCATACATGTCATTGCAGGTGGAGGTGTGGGCTTCATTTTCAAAACTGAAGATCTTCTACCAACTGAAGAATAATATAACCAGTTTAATCAAAAACTACATAATAATGAAAGAATAACATACAATCCAAGAGTTCGGATTTGCTAAAGTCAAAGATCTCAACTTCATAGGTGAAGTTGGCGCATTATGGGACTAATCTGTACCCAGGTTAATAATCTGAATTGTTCATCTCATATGACAAGTTGAGAAGAACATGCATGCAAAAAATTAGATAGCAGACATAAGTAATCACATGATCAACTGACATATATATTATAACAAATAGACGGTCTATTCTTACAAACATGTAGGCAATATAGATAAAAATGATCTAATAGTATAACAATCGACGTTGGATCAACTTAATTTTTTACATGGATAATTTTCTTAGTTAGTTGTATAATATGAACAGTTTAGATCATCGAAGTAAGTCCAAATTGATCCGATCATGGGTCAACTTTACGGTGAAGTTGAGATCTTTGACTTTAACAAATCCGGACTCACAATCCAACTAGATTCCAGAAGCTAGAACTTCTAGAATAAACATACACACAACTTTAACAAATCCGGACTCACAATCCAACTAGATTCCAGAAGCTAAAACTTCTAGAATAAACATACACACGACTTTAACAAATCCGGACTCACAATCCAACTAGATTCCAGAAGCTAAAACTTCTAGAATAAACATATACACGTCAGTGTATGACGAGATGGAAATTTCACTTCTCTAATTAGTTTTGGGACCAAACTAGCATGCATGAATTCCATAAAAAATTTCAATACCTAAAATGGAAGACAACAAATCATTGTCATCAGGAACAGACTCCTTTGTTCTTTTGGAATGGGCCATGCCCAATGATTCAACTGAATTTAAACTCTGCAGAGTCATTGTACTTTCAGTGAAACTGCGTTTTTTTCCCGCAATGTTGTTGATCCCAGCATCACTTCCGTCACCAGTTGCTAAGTGTGTTTTGTCTGGTGTGGACTCCATCAACAAATTATCCTGTAGATCAGCAAGCCCTTCTGGTACAGAAAGCAACTTTTCTGGTACAGGCAATTCAGAATTCGCAGAGTCGTCTAATTTTTCTAATTCAGTATCTCTCGAATTAATGCTGTGCACTTGATCATCCACTTTGCTGAAGTCCGCCTGAATATCTTCACAGGAAGCAGGATCTGTTGTGTGGTTTTCCTCCAAGACTGGTTTCATAAAGTCAGCATGAAACCCTTCACCTGGAAAATGAGACCCATAAAATCAGAGATACAAGTGAAATTTATAACCATATTTCTACATAAATTATGTTTCGTGAGCTTTTCAAACAAACCTTGCACCTCAGTAGCATGGGTTGCCACCTTTCTTCCAGATATCTCCAATGAGCATAGCTCAGTAACTCCAGATGGCAAATGAGGAGAACCTGACACGTCACCTCCAGCATTTAACATACTTGGTTGGTTCAGCTGCTTGCATGGCTGAAGAATATGCATGTCACCAGCTGCCATTTTTTCACAAACAACATGGTTCAAAATATTGGAATCCTTTGGATCCAGTAAAGCCTGAGTTTCAGGGTTCTCGAGATCTTCTCTACTGGGGGCTTCAGTATGTGATGCCACTGCATTGATAGAGGGACATGATTTTTCCATATTTCCTGCATTCTCCACACTATTTGATAGTTCTGGCATAAGCGATGCTTGATTGATCTGTAAAATACATTCTGAGGCCGTCTGGCAGGTGCTAGATAAGCTTGACTTCTCAGAAATATTTTTAATAGCAGTACAGGAGTTGCCAAAAGGATCCTCCAAAACAGGCGCTTTGTCAGAAAAATTAGGACTTGACACAGTTCCGCCCAACCTAATTCCTTGGGGTTCTATACCATCTGCATTGGCCACATCAATAGTTTGAGTAATGGGCACATTATTGCTGACAACTTCTTTCTGCAAATCTTCCACCTCATTTTCCTTATCAAATGCAGTGAAGTTTTCATCTGGAAATTCTGATACTGGAGTAATGGCTTCAACTGGTTCAGCTGAAAGGAGATTCCCCGCACTAGATGGCGAATCTTCCCATGACTTTAGTTGGTTAATCTCCTGGTCACCCAAAACAGTTACAGGGTTCATATCATTCGGCAAAGACAAACTCACTGCATTTTCATTACCACAATGAAGATCTGATTTGCTGGACATGTTTGTCAGGTTCTCTTTAGCCGCAAATTTTATTAAATTATGATCTTCAGATTCCAGATGATCATCACTTGCTGAAGCCTCCTGAATATTGGACAAATTTGACTCTTCCCCTAATTCCAGGTGATCATCACATGCTGAAGCCTCTTGAACTTTAGACAAATTTGGCTCTTCCATCAATCCAGGAGTACATGGGGCCTGAGCATACTCAATGAAATCAGTATTCCCAGCAAGACCTTCAAGCTGCTCACAAAGGAAAACAAAGTCATTAAACCAAGGTGGCTACTTAAAAATACCATGACAAGACGCTAGACTCACTTCTACCTGAAATAGGACAAAATTGACCAAAAGTTTTAGGGAGCAAAACCACAAAATATGGAAAATAATAATAGTAAAAAAATCATCAGCTATTACTTGATCTTAGAACTGAAAATTAACCTGATTTACTCTGCCAGTAGTCAGCAACACCTCTGAGTTTCCATTAATTCCTTCGTCAGTTTTGTCTTGCTCAAGATGTACCATTGGTTGAACAGATGCAGGCTCAGCACTGAAATCAGAGAAGATGAATGGAGTCAATCAGAAATTTGTAATCTTTTGGGTGATTAATACAGATCAGTCCATGAGAGTAAACCACCAATTACAAACACAAGAAGACAACAACTTCTAACACGAGGATGCATGCTTTTGGAAAAAATGAATCTGCACATCCATATAATAATGTAGCAAAAACATTACTAGGCAAGCCAACAATGCCTGTCCTCACAAACTTTTGCAGAGGAAGCACAAGTGGCACAAATGCCTATGTCGTTAGTCATTACTTATCGAACTTTATACTCTGAAAAAAAACTTGTTTAAGGATTTGCAATAGAGTTTAGATCCGCCATAGTATTAAGACAGAAAATTACATACGGGGAATGGTTAAAAAAAGGAGTAAATCAAATGAGTAATGTGCAGAACATGACAACGTGGAGGACAAGCAAAATATATAATTTCATATATTTAGTACATGTCATATATATGAATATTTCACCTAAAGATATTAAAAAATGTAACATAATACTAATTCCTAAAGTTTACATGAGGGATTAATATGCATAAATTTAAAATCTAAATTGTTTTCTTTTATAATTGTATTCCAAGTTATTTTGTTCAAACTTAAATCATGTTTCATAAAAGTCTAAGCAATGAACATGTGTGCCTCTCAAATGTCCAAAGCATGTCCGAGTCTAAAAAAATAACAGGACACGTTTGGCCAAGTGTCCAACATGTGTTGGGAAGTGTCCAGTATGTTTTGGTGTCCAACATAAACACACAATCTTCTTAGAAGCATCTATACTTCTTAGGTGTTCCCCATATTGCTCGGTTTGTGCTCCCCATATTGTTGCTTCCCATGTGCACTGTTATACAACTCATTCTCCCAACAAGTGCACGATATAATGCGGCATCAGGCATGCCTACTAGGTGATGCACCCAGCAAGCATATCCAATTAGCTATGTGTACTATATAATTTATTGTGTTCCTTAGATAGATGGTTGAGAATGAGTGACGTGCCCATAATAAATCCTCTATATTACACAAGAATACAAAAACATGTACGAATATTTAGATACACGTCAATCTCATTGGATTTGGAGAAGAGACCAATCTAGAAACAAACCCATACTCCACGCAAGTACCCAAGTCCTAAAACATAAGAAATATATTGTGCATATGAAACTGAAAATGTTCCTCAACTGCAGGGCAGTTTAAAAGTCAGAATCATGTCTTTCTCTCTCTAAAGTTAGTTTCCAATGATGGATAACTAAACTAATAAATGACTACAGCATGCAGTGTGTCACCATCCACTAATAAAGTTTAAGAAAAGTTTGTTATGACCAAGCAGTTAAAAAATGAGATCCCTAATAACACAAAAGAAAGACAAAGTAGTTTATAGTCCCATTAAAGGAAAGAGCATACCCTGAATCCAGCATAACTCCAGCATGTCCAGTAGCGATAACCTTGTTCGAAAACAATTCCTGTTTGTAGTCATTTGTAGCAATCGACAATAAACTTCTAATGAAAGAAAGTAGGATTCTCCAATGCATAAATAGAATGTTACATCATATCATGACATAAATCCACAAACAGTACATTGATGTAGGACACATTAGGAACCTTGTGATAAACTGCCTGCAATTGGATTTTTTACTTATGGTTGAAACATTGTAGGATTTAGGGTTAACAAGATGGAAGAAGGATTCTAAGATTCGTACGCAAAAAGGGAACAAATTTGGTTTAGTTTCCAAAAGGAACAGGTTGGATTTCCAAGAAAGAGTATGCTGAAAGTTCTGGACAAGATCTAATTTAAGTGCTTAGGAGTTAAATCAATGGCCAATAGCTAAACAGAGGTGTCAGGGTCAATTAGAAAAGATTGTAGGGCATTGTAGAAAGAGAGGTTGCTATCAGATCATGCACAATAGCACAACAAAACTAGGGTTCTTTGGGAAGAGAAAATGATAGAGAAAAACAAGGCAGGTTAACCGTGCAAGGGCTAAGCAAAATGACACAAACACAATAACAAACTCCTATAAAACTCAATACTTATCGAAAAGAAAAATTATACATATCTAAAGACTAATAGGTCTACTTTTAGATCTTAAGTAGAAGACTTGATTGGTGGTAGACAACATATAACACACCCAATCTTCACCCATAATACAATGGACCAAAAATAAAATCCACTTCCAGCAAAATTAACAATAACTACAATAGCCTTGACTTCTAGACATAAGAAAACAAAATAAAACCAACCAACAAGAAGCAACCTTTGAACAAACATAAACTACGATCTAAACACTACCATGACACTTTCCTTAGAACCAAAAGAATTTCTTAATTATTGTGGAGCTCGTAAAATTTGTTTTATGCTTCCAGAGCTCGTAAAATTCAATATATCTAACTTAAATCCTTTGCTCATATGTTTTTAATCAGTTCTCCAATGTTCTCAATAATCTAATGCATTTATATTTCTCACACTTCCATTGTGCAACATCTTCCTTGGTATCTTAAAAATCTTTTCATAACACACAAAACTAGTATTTACTTCAACGTTTGTAGGAAACAAAATAGGATCTTGAAACTTCAATTCCAAACTGAAAAAAAAAATCAGCTTGAAGAACCTTGTGATGGGTTTAGGGTGAGGAAAAGTTGAAGCTTTCAGGTTTAATAAGGTAAAGGAAGAATTCAAGGTTGTGTCACAAATAGGATTGAGTTTTCAGGACAGTGTACCATATGCTCAAGACATCAACTAATTTAAAGGTATTTAGGAGTTAAAACCAACAGCGAAAAATTAAGGGAAAGAACTAGAGTTAATTAAAGGTAGGTTTTGCGACAGAAGGTTCAATGGCCATGAAGGCATAGATAAACTAGGCTATGAAATGGTGCATAATGGATACGGTTTTGGTGATAAAAATGAGACTGGAGAGAGTATCTTAGATTTTGCATTGGCTTTTGACCTGGTGGTTGCCAATACTATGTATAAGAAAAGGGATGAGCATTTGATAACCTTTAAGGGTGGGTCAGTTAAAAACCAAATAGATTACTTTTTAATGAGAAAAGTGGACCACCTAAAATGTAGTGATTGTAAGGTGATTCTTGGAAAGAGTTTGGCCTCTCAACATAGGATTTTGGTACTAGATTTATATTTTAAAGGGCAATACCAAGCTAGGAAGGATGATGGGTGTCGTAGGACAAGATGATGGTACTTAAAAGGGGATAAACTAGAAATATTTAAGAATAGAATGGATAAGGAAGCTGCTTGGGACTTGGAAGATGATGCTAACACTATGTGGAACTCGATTGCCAATTGTATGAGGAGAATCTCAAGGGAAATGTTTGGAGAGTCGAAAGGAACGGGACCCAGCTTTAGGGAAACTTGGTGGTAGAATGAAGAGGTTTAAGCGATAGTTAAGGCAAAAAAAGAATACTTTAAAAAGTGACAAAATGATAGAACTGAGGAAAACCTTAAGAGCTCCAGATTGGCTAATAAGAAGGGAGGTCAAGAAAGTAGTGAGAGAGGCTAAGTTGAAAACTTATGATGACCTATATACTAGACTAGATAGTAAGGAGGGAGAGAAGAGGATATACAAACTTGCTAAGATACGAGAGAAGATAACAAGAGATTTTAATCAAGTTAAGTGCATCAACAGTGAGGATTCTAAGGTATTGGTGAGGATGAAGAGATTAAGGAAAGATGGAAGAACTATTTTGAGAAACTATTAAATGAGGAACATAAAAGTACGTCAATAGGGGAAGAAATAGCTAGTAATACGATAAATCAAGACTATAGGTTCTATCTCAGGATTAGGAACGTTGAAGTGGAGATTGCACTCAAGAAGATGAAATCAAATAAGACTTTAGGACCCTATAATTTCCCTATTCAAGCTTGGAAGTGTTTGGGTAAAAAAGGGATTGTTTGGTTGACTAGGTTATTTAGCAAAATTTTGTTGACTAGGAACATGCCTGATGAGTGGAGGAAGAGTATTTTAGTGTCAATCTATAAGAATAAAGGAAATGTCCAGAATTGCAACAACTATAGAGGAATCAAGCTAATATGTCATACAATGAAAGTGTGGGAGAGGGTGATGAAACGCTGATAGCGAGATATAACAGAGATGTCAGAGAATCAATTTGGGTTTATGCGTGGTAGGTCAACAATAGAAGCGATTTATCTGTTGATGAGAGTAACAAAAAAGAGACATTATGGTGTTTATCAACCTTGAGAAAGCATATGATAGAGTGCCTTGGGATATAATATGGTGGGTGTTGGAAAAGAAAAGGGTGACAAAAGATTACATTGATATGATTAGAAACATGTATGAAGGGGTGGTGACCACTATTAGATCGCCTGCTGGAAAGACAAATAAATTTTCTATCACTGTAGGGTTACACCAATGATCTATCTTAAATCCTTATCTTTTTGTGTTAGTTATAGATGAGTTGACAACAAATATTCAGGATGACGTGTCATGGTGTATGCTTTTTGCAAATGATATCGTGTTAATGGATGAGACTAGAAAAGGAGTTGACACAAAGTTGGAAATTTGGAGAAAAACACTTGAATCTGAAGGTTTCTGAATAAACATAACTAAGACAGAGTACATGGAGTGTAAATTTAGTAACAGTATCAATGAAAGCAGAGGAGAAGTGAGAATTGAGAATTAAGAATTGAGAACCAAAACCTGTCTAAAGAGTGATCATTTTCGTTATTTATGATCAATTATCACAACGGCGGGCAAGATTGATATGGATGTAGCCCATAGGATTAAGGCGAAATGGCTTAAGTAGAGAAGTGCGTCTAGGATACTGTGCAATAAACGAATACACATTAAACTAAAAGGTAAGTTCTATAGAACGACTATTAGACCAACGATATTGTGTGGGACGAAGTGTTAGGCAACCAAGAAACAACATGTAGATAAGATGCGTGTTGCTAAGATGAGGACGCTAAGGTGGATGTGTGGCAAAACTAGACAAGACAGAATTAGAAATGAGTGTATTTGGGAATTGGTAGAATTAGCACCGATAGAAGATAAGTTGAGAGAGAATCGATTGAGATGGTTTGGTCATATTTAACGGAGACTAATAGAGGCAGTAGTAAAGAGATGCGGTGTAGTGACGATAGATGGAAGTGTTAGGAGACCAGGTAAGTTTAGATTAACGTTGGCTAGTGTTGTAAATAGAGATATAGATCTACTTAATTTGACTAACGAAATGGCCTTTGATAAAGTCGCGTGGAAAAGAAGGATTCATGTAACCGACCTCATTTGATGGACTTAAGGCTTGGTTTGGTTTAATGTGGTTTTGCGACAGAAGGTGGATTTATGTTATTCCAGTTCTGTGAACAGTAACTTGAGTATTTTGCAAATAGAATTAAAAGAAGAACAAAAGAAGAAAGGAGGAATATTTATATTTTTTAGGCCAAACCACCATGTTTTGTCATATGCATGGAACCATATCTTTTTATTCTTCCTCACGTCTTTTCCCTGCATGTCCCTTCCTCAAATTGTATGCTAATCAGAACTCAGTGTAGTGGACCACTAGTCAAGACAACAGCTATACATAAATTAAGGATTTTTTTTTTCTTTTCTCCATTGAGAACCTATAAAAATAATCTCCATCTTCAGCAATTTATCAAGACTAAATGTCTTAATAGTCCAATAGACCCAACAAGCCCACAAAATATGAATTTACTTTACAACTGCACTATGATTATGATTATGATATATTACCTCATCAAGGTCCAACCCAGATGTTTCACCATCACCAAATCGCTCTGAAAAGAAACCACAAAAAACAAGGGAAAGTACAAACTAAACTTAGATTTAGAATACACCTAACTATCAAAGAAGTTAAAACCAAAGCATCTTGCCATGTCATGCAAAAGTGAATACTAACCATCAAGTCCAAACTGGGTTGTGGAGTAAACCACACTCTCCATCGTATCCTGAAGCGTAATCTGCTCCCTTGTACTGACATGATGATCAACAAAATTACTGCACAATTGCCAGTCAGTAAGCAAAAGTCAAGTCAAATTGGGAAAAAGTGTTAATCTTAATCACAGAATGTACCATTTTCAAGAAACTAACAATTTACTATCCAAATTTTAGGAATCCTGAAAGTAGGAAAATAAAAAGAAAAAAGAAAAAAACAACAAAACTGAGAATTATATTCAAATAAAGGTACCCAAAACTTTCCAACTTATGCTATCAACTTGATTATGTGATGATCATCATTCAACACTTCTTTTAATCAGTAGGCATATCAAAAAATATATCAGGGAAGGTCAATGCTTGGTGGTAAAGACAGCTACTAATATTCAAGAAAGTATCAAGAGATGATACTAGATCCCAAAAAAAACCATAATCCAGTCAGCACCAATCATCATTTTCCATATAGACACAAGTGATTATGTGACGCTTTGCTTAAAAATACGAATTGGGTAATTTGGCACCAACCCCTGAAACATGTCACTATCTGGTAGCTCAAAATCATCAAGATCAAAAGTCTCAGGCAACGTTATGGAGTGATATGGTGCAGTAGATTCTTCAGGTGGTAAATCAACAGCAGTTGAACGAAAGGCTTGCTTTATCTTGAGCAAAGCCTCACTGCAATCGTCGAAAAGGTAATTCACCTTTCTTGAATATATCCTCACCACACCAAGCAGAAGATGGCTAGATAACCGAAGTGCAATTGGTACTTCAGGAAAAAGAATTGAATCTGTCAAGAGACGAGCATACAGGAGTTAGATGAGTCCAATAGAGCATTTAACAACAAGAATGGAGATAACCAAGGCAGCTTAACTCAAGTTGAAATGGAACTATGGCCATTGAAACAAAATGGTAGCCCCTAATACCGTACTAATAGTCAGTCTGATTTCCTTTAGTACAATAGATACTGAATAAAGGCTGGTGAAAAATTTACTTAACAAATAATAAAAAAAAACTCTACTAGCTTCAATTGATTTAAATAAGATAATGACATATTCAGATCAACCCCCAAACAAAATGATTCAAGTCCCTTAAAAATATTCTTTGAAATCAACCCCCAAACAAAACAAAAAATAATTCAAATCCAAATACTCCTAATAACAAATGCCACCTCCAGCTTTTTACAGTTCCATATTGGTCCCAATTATAAATCTATGGAACCCTGAATGGCCCCAGCTTTCAATTTTCTCATACACATAAATCATAATGGCCTTATAATGATATACTTGTAAAACAAGCCCCCCTTCTTCTTTCTTTTACCCACATCCTGTAAATATACCCATGAATCTTTCCATATTTTCAGTGTAAGCCAAATGCAAACGACCATCATCGATCTTCATAAGTTAAAAAACTTCAAACAAAAAATAGTTGTCAAAGAAAGTTCTATATTTGCTTTTATGTAATGAATCTTTTCCTGGTAATGTATGAAAACTAAATTAGAGTGATATTTGTATGTTATCATTTTCAATGGATCGCACCCTTGGATTCACTGGCAACACCCATACAACTCTCCATCTCAAATGCCTAGGTTCGTTAGACTAAAATATCTTTACCATCTAAGTGTCCCTAAAACTTTAGGTGATTGCTAATATCATGCAAATGTCAATCTCTTAGTCACAATCAAATCTACATCCCAATATAACTTCAGACCAACTAATAGCTGGGATCCCAAAGGGATGAAAAGATTCTTGTGACCTATGTCATAGTGAGAAATATAGACTGACTAACAGATACACATAGATGCTAAGAGAAGTCAAGTTTAAAGTAGTTCTCTTTTTTTTTTTTTTTTTTTTTTTTTGATAAATAAGTTTATAGTAGTATTTACATCCTATATTAGACCTAGTAAACTTCATGTCAATCTATGATGCGAGACCATCCTCCATACTACTACACCTGAAGCTCCAAGTCGCATACGTTACTTGCCCAGCAACTTGTACAATCCCAACCGACAATAGCTAGAGTTTGTATTTCATGCACAAAACTTAGATCTTAACTAAACCGAAATCAATGAACTCGGCATCCTGATTGAATCTGTTGATATAGTTTGAGTTTGAGTGGCTCCTTTCAACAATAAGATTTGGTTGCCTAAACTCAGCAGCTCTCTACTATGCTAACTATAATAATATATGAGTGAGAGGCACTATTTCCGGAGCAATTTCCATAATAATTCAGTCTCCTCTTCATGTGAATTTTGTGTTAGTTGTCCTGCAGCAGATATCTTATGCAAACACAAAAATTCATTTTTTTCTGGGTGGATTTTGTCAAGTCAATCACGTAAACAAATATCTTGTTATGGATCTCATTTATTGATAGTCTTTATTTGCACGATATATTCCAGCTTATTAATTTATTTGAAAAACTACATTGTATCTTATGACCCAATATATGATATGCAATGAGAATGATTCAGACTCAATCCTTTATGAAACATAACTTGAAAGCTACAACCCCGTTACTTCTTTCAATAGTAAAATATGTATCATTTAATCAACATAGAAACATCCCGCAGTATTGGGTGGAAATATTTGCTTTAACCTAAAACCTAAGAAACGCAGACACTTGTCTAGAGGAAGCATGTCATGACTGACACTTTCGGACACTCATATATGCATGTCTGACATTTCTAACATGTCTTGATTAAAAAAATCAAATTCATAATATCGGACACTTTATTGACACTTCACAAAGACTTCGGTGACACTTCTTCAACTCTTTGAAGACGTCCTAAGTGTTGCATTCTTCTCTACACTCTAAATATGTTTTGAAACATTAATAAAATGAATACATGTGTATTACATGTTTTATAAGAATGTAATTGTTACGTAAATGATATATTAGTGTTCAAGTTATGAAATATATAGTTTTTATATGTAACTAATACAAAAGGCATATGCAATGAGTGGCAATGGTTACTTGTTCATACAGCAGAAATGGGAAGGTTTAAAGCAGTAGTGAGTGCAGTAACTGGAGTTGATGACATGCCAGGCTCCATTAAAACCCTTTCTTGAAAACTAGGCAATGTTTCAATAATATAAATACTTCAATAACCACTCATTTATTTTTTTTCTATAAAAACAATAATAATTAAAAATCTTTTAAACAAGGAAGCATCAGGGAGGAAAAAGGAATTTCAAGCTGGCTTCGTAATACTTTTAGTTGCATCATGCCATGGAAACCTCTAACTAGACACCATTCTTTATCTTGGATCATCAACTACATGAGAAGTAAGTAATACATAAGCTCTACCATTGCTTTGAAGAGGATTATAGTGAACAGACTACATGACCAGATTCTCTCAAAACAGGAGATTAATTAAATGTTACAAATTCTGGCCCAACCTTGTCTTCCGTATTTGCCAAGAAATGAAGGTCTGCAAATTGAACTAGGCACATGAACATGTTGTAACTGTATCCTCAATGGATGAATTAGCAATGCATAAAACTAGTTGATCAAGTTAAACATTAATGCAAAACAGGCAATTAATAATGTTATCGAGCCGCGGAAACTTGTCTAACTAATAAAGATAGACTGTTAACGGCAGTAGGTATGCAGAATATACTGCAGGGATGATTCTAACACTAGGAAGAAGAAGAAAAAAACATAGCAAGCAGCCTTGTGCATTGAATCAATCATTTCAAAAATAATTCAAAGAAATGACCATAGAGAGCCATAATTGAGATAGGATAGAAGTGCAACTGAAGCCTGGAAACGAATCCTCCAGATAAAACATGATAGAACAGCAGCAAGATCCAATTTTTAACCATAATAAATTATTCTAGAAGCTCGGAACAGAGAGAGAGAGAGAGAGAGAGACAGTCTTGCACCACTAGAATAAATAATTTCTAGAAGTTGCTTCAGTCGGACCTACATACAAGCTTTTGAACGACAAAGAATGCTTGTTTATGCTATACAAAAATAAAATTAAAAGAAGAATAAAACTACTGACCAACAGAGACACCGATATCGGTATCGGCAACCTGATTCTTGCGCAGCTTCCGCTCCAAATGTGCCGCAATCCATATGGTCCCGAGCGGCCCCTTCTTTGCCAATATAAACTGCGAGTAAAACATCTTTCTATCCCCGCAGTAAAGCCGTGAATTAATACAGATTCAGAAAATCCTCTCCCAAAAAAACCAAAAAAAAAAAAAAAAACCCTAACTTTCCCTTTTCCACTCAACAAGAAATCCCAAATTTCTTACTACTATCAAACCCGCTTGTACAATTTCCACATCCGCACCCAAAAAACCCCAAACTCATCCCGAAACTTCATCTAAATCTCAGTATGTTAGTAGAACCCACCCACCCCCAAGAAAAATATCTCAAGTAACACCAAACCGCCGAGATTCCGCCCAAGACATCACATCAGCCCTTTCGTTTCGCTGCAACACCCATTAAAACCAAAGAATTCAGGGAAAAAAATAAAATCCAACTATAACAGAGAAAAAGGAAATTCAATCACAGTAAATTATATACCGAATTGGCCAAAACCTTGTCGGAATTAGAAGCTCAGAGACACCGAACACTTTTGCTAGAAGATAGCCGTTGACGAAGTCTCGAAAATTTGGGGAACTAAAACCCTAATAATCTTTTTCTTTTTTCTTTTTCTTAATTTTTTTTTTTTTTTTTTTTATCTTATGGGATCGCTCGTGTCCAACGAACCTTGAAACTCAGCTGAAGAAACATAACTTACAAACCTTCAAATGCTGAGATCGAGCTCGAACTGGGTTGATGCGATTTATCTGGGTTGATGCGACTATCTATTCCTATTTCTCTATTATATATTATATATTATTATATTATGTTATTTTATATAGGAGTAACGAGTAACGAGTAATATAATATTTTTATATATATAATAAGGGTCTACTTCTCTTAAGTTGAGATCCATTTAATCCGGTTTATAGGGTCTATTTTTTGGTTCTTTTTGATAATCTGAACCGTTCAATATGTAGAACTCGTCAAGTACTATATGTTTGTAAAAAATCACATTGATAGAATATCAATAACTATGTGATCAAATCAGTTTTGTATAAAAAAAAATGGACGGCAAAAAAATTAACAGTTGATAAAAAACTGTTTTGTTCACATAGCTATCGATATCCGATCAATGTGATTTTTTTAAAGATGTATAGCACTCGACGAGTTCTACACATTGAACGGTTCGGATTATCAAAACAGGACCCGTGGTGGGCCCTCACGGGCCCAACAGCACGGTCCAATCCGATCTTGGACTGAACTAAAGCCACTGCCTATAAAAAAAAATATATAAATTATAAATGGACTTCCTCAAATTTACTTAAAATACGAATTATTCTTATATTTTAAAAATTATATTTCTTCCCTTAAATTTTTTAATTTCATCAAAATATCATTTTTTATTAATAAATTATCAACTTAATTAATAATTTTTAAAAATATAATTTAAGTAATTTTATTAAAATTGTATTTTTTAATTAATTCTATTAAATAAATATTTTGATAAGGAAGTGTGGTTGTAAGAGTGTAATTACTTAATTAATAATTTTTAAAATTTTTAAAAATATAATTTAAGTAATTTTATTATTATATATGAGAGCAACTCAAAATTGTATTTTTTAATTAATTCTATTAAATAAATATTTTGATAAGGAAGTGTGATTGTAAGAGTGTAATTATAGTGTGAAGTGAGTGTGCTTTTAATAAATGTGTTTATATATCTTGAATGTTTTGTGCAATCTGTTTTCAAGAGTGTTATCCTATGTAAGTTTTCTTTCTTCTTGTTTTTAATTTTAATATAATACAAGTGTGATGTTTATTTAGTATACTTTTGATTTTTGAATTACGCATTAAGATTAATGATAGTTACCAATACATTGTTGATTTACAAGAAGAATTGTCTAATCTTAGACTATTATTATCCCTTGTATCAAGTCAATCGATTATTAATTATAGTCAAAAAATTTCGACTTTCAAAAAAAAGATCAAAGAGTAACAAACTTCTTTAAAAAGACTCCAAAAGCATTTGCAATCTTTAATCTAGGTCTAATTCTATCACTTACATGTGTTTCCTTTTGGTATAGGAGCCAAATTAAGCTTAGAATTGATTTAAGTCTCTTCCTATATAACGAGTGTGGCACCCAAGTCACAGAAGTCTGCAAGTCGTTAAGTCATTAGGTAGGAGGCCATTATTGATCATTTGAGTTTATGCAAAACCACCTGTTGACAGCTACAATTATTATGGCAAGATTATTTAAATAATTTTCTAACCTAATTTATGGTGAAGGTTCCTCGACAAAACCAGTTATTATTAATCAAAGTGATTTAGAAATAGAAAAGATTGAAGAACGTCTTCAAAATTAGAAATTACCCACCAAAGATATCAACTATTTATATGATAAGAAATTTGAACTTAAACAAACTTATAAGATCAAAACAGTTGAACAAATTGTACCAGTAACCCAAGACAATCAAAATTTCTAGTTACTTGATCGTGACACCATTCTTAAATTTCAAAAAAAAAATCAATTTTTTACATTTAGGTCTGATCCAAGTTGGTGTCAAACCCATGACATGCCTACATCTTAACAAATCTTGCACTCTTAGAGATATGCGACATTATGATTATGATGATTCATTATTAGGTGTTATCAGATCCAGTCTTGCTCATTGACCAATTTACTTTGAATGTTTTCCTAATTTTGAGGTATCCTTAATAGATCCTAATATTCTCAAAACTCTTACACTTAACATCCAAACAAAGCGTTATAATATAGACTCTCCATCTTTTAATATTATGGTTTGTTATCGTGTTTATGTCAAAGCTATGACCACTTCTTGTCCTGCCTTCAAATATATTGCTCCAAACCCCAAGCAATCCACCATTTTATTTCATGTTTATCAAGAGAATGCTGAAGTGATGGTTCCTCAAGTTATAACTTGGAAAAAAGTTTTACAAGCTGATGTCGAAGATGAAGAGGATACATGGGTGATTCCTAATGTTGTTTCGACCATTACTTCTCAACCCCAAACAAATCCAAATACTATCCTTCAAATTCCAAATAGATCAGTTGTCCTATGTTTCCAACGATCTAGGTCCGTGCGTATCCAATCACAAACATCTTCACAACCACCTTCTACAAGGTATCATACTCTTGCTTAAACTCCTCAATGCCCTCATCGACACTCAATCGACATACCTTTACATTCTACTCGCAGATAGCCTAATCAAATTCCATATACAAATTATGCTAATTTTAGTCGTCTTCCTCAAAACATCGATTTTGACATTAATTCTTTATCAATTAATGTTATCCAAAATGATTTCACAATCAATCATAACTTACTCTCAAAAGAATACAATGCTCCTTATAATTCTTATAATATATTTTATTTTACACAAAACCATACTACTGCCTAACAACAAATTATTAGGTTTAAATATTTCCTCACCTTATGACAATTACAACAACATATACATTTTTTCCATTGGTATTTTCACCAATATTGTCATCGGCAATGTGTAATATGTACGAGTAAAAAAAGAAAAAAACACACACACACACATACCTTCAATTGCCACAAACCAAAGTCTTTCGTCCTTACATTGGCTGGAACATATATTTGGTTCAAGTTCTGAGTGGTACACGGCCTTCCAAATGTCCCTCATACAACACATCTCTTAATAGTATTTTAAAAAAATATAATAAATTTGATATAATTATATTAATGGGGTATAACTCAGCGGTAGAGTGTTACATTAACGAAGTGAAAGCCATTAGTTTGAGCCTGATTATCCTTAAACCCAACGTGAGTTTTTCTATTTTGACTTGCTCCCCCCCCCGGGTGATTGAAAAAGAATGGATAAGAGGCTCATGGGATTAACATAAGAGGGTGAAATTAGTAGACACGCTACTCTTAGGAAGTAATGCTAGAGCATCTCGGTTCGAGTTCAAGAAACAGCATGTCGTCTTCTAAAAAAGATAGAATAGTCCTATAATGAATTCAATTCCTGATTTTCATTCCGTCATTAAAGGATTCCTATTTTTCTTTTTTTAATGATATTTTTAACCTTAGAACACATATTAACTCATTTATTTTTATTAATTATATAGATTAAAAAAGAGAAAATTTGTGATAAACCCAATTTAAGAAAAGTATAATGCATTAGGTCCAGTGGATATTTTTTTGTTGGTAAGAGGTCCATACTTTATGAAATAATTTGGTGAAAAGTCTTGAATGATATTTTATTTCCAATTTTACCGCTTGACGTTTTTCTATCTGTTTGACTTTTTGTTAACTATATGTTCAAATTTATATTTATCTATTCATATTTTTTTTTTATCTGTTCAAATTTATATATATTTGTTTAAATTTTTTAACTATCTGTTTAATTTTTCCCCCATCTATTCAATTTTTTCCTCTAAATTCTATTGATTTGTTCATTTTTTTTTTTTTTTGTAAATTCTATCTATCTACCTATTTTTTCCCCCTAAATTCTATTTAATTTTTGTTATCTATTAAATTATATTTCCAATTTTACCGCTTGACGTTTTTCTATCTGTTTGACTTTTTGTTAACTATATGTTCAAATTTATATTTATCTATTCATATTTTTTTTTTATCTGTTCAAATTTATATATATTTGTTTAAATTTTTTAACTATCTGTTTAATTTTTTCCCCCATCTATTCAATTTTTTCCTCTAAATTCTATTGATTTGTTCAATTTTTTTTTTTTTTGTAAATTCTATCTATCTACCTATTTTTTCCCCCTAAATTCTATTTAATTTTTCTTATCTATTAAATTACCAATTTCTTATCTATTACTCAAATTTGGAAACCCATTTTCCTATATGTTTGAAATTCACAAATTAATTCTTATATCTGTTAGAATTATCCACTACCAACATTCAAATATTAGACAAAAAATCACAAACTATTAAAGCTATTTAAAATTTGAACCATATCTTACTAATCTGTTCAAAATTTGTCTATATTTGTTTTATCATCATCACCATCAATAACAATAATAACACCACCATCACCGTCAAATTAATAACAAAAATCAACTACTTGTCAAAAAAATTGTTTGAACAAATCTACTTATCTGTAAAAATAAAATAAAATTAATCTATTACAATCTATTTCATTGTGATCATCGTCGTCGTCGTCGTCATCATCATCATCAACAATTAGAAAAAATAATAATGATAATAATAATATGTTGAGGAGCAGATCAAATCAAGATTTGGATTTAGCAAAAAAGAAAAAAAAAAGAAAAAAAAGAGTAATATGTTGAAAAGATTTGTTGAAAACACTATCTGTTGAAAATATTTGTGGCATTTTCTAAGCCAGATCTGTTATAAAAAAAAAAAAAAAAAAGATAAAACAAACTTGAGACTCACAGCTACTCCATTACTACCTAAACCACTACAACAACACGTTCCAACCTTCACCGACGAGTGGAGAACAATGAAACGTCGAAGGTTGTGGAAAGTTTCGGACAACAAGAGAAATATTTGAGAGTACGAAATAGTGGATTATATATCAGATTAGAGGTTCAAAAATCTAATTATATATCAAATTTGAGAGAGAGAGAGAGAGAGAAAAATAGAGAGTGTGTGTGCGAAACCCTAACCCTAACCCTTGCCTTCGCCATCGTGTCCTCGCCCGCTGTCGACATTTCTCTTGTTTCTCTCCTGCGAGTCTTTCAGCAGAGTCATTGCGCTTCTCCATTATGTTGATCGCCGCCGATGTAGATTGCTGCTAGAGGTGGTTGAGTTGTCGATGG